CAAGGTTTCAACCATCAAAGAAAAATAAATATTAGAAAATGCTAAAATAAAGTCCATTGATTCTGTGGGCCTATTTATAGCATATTTACCTACATGTTTCTGTAATAAACTAATCTTGTTGCAGTTATCTCAATGTCTGACCTACTGAGCACTGTGAAAGTCCTGGCTGGATCTACGGCAGAGATTGCAGCTGCTTCAGTCGGTGATCAGCATCTGGTGGCCGCAGTGAGATTGGCTGAGGAAAACAATTCTATGGAGACCCTCAATGGGCTGGAGGTTGCTGATGTTAAAGCAGAGGTCCCAGTAGAAGTGCCTGTGGGAGCTGTGGTTGAGGAGGCCATGATAGGTAGACTGAATCTGAAAACAGAAGGAAAAGAACTGGAGGAACTGCCATCATCACTTCATGCAGTAGAAGAAACTATTGTTGTGGCAGATGACCATGTCAAGTCTGAGGCAGACAGCCCTGCTGTGCCTGAAGTTAATGTTGAAAGCCTTGCTTCATCAGAGGAGGACCTTGTTACAGAGATGGAGAACATTTTGGAATTGGAAGACTCAACAAGCCCTGTGGTGATGCTCTCAGAAGATGATGCCGTCTCTGGAGCTGCAGAGTTGACATCAGAAAGAGTCGAGGACGTAGGTCAGAAAATGGAAGAATGTAAAGCGTTGTGTCATGAGCCAACTGCCACAGAAACAGAACATGCAGATCTCACAGCACCACCAGCAGAGCTGGAGGACTCATTACAGGCTACAGGTGCAACAGAGGCTGCAGAAGAAGTTATTGTCGTGGAAATGATGCAGGATGCTGTGGAGAAAGCTAAACCTGTTGAGGCATCAGATGAAGGTAACATGATTATGGCACCATAAGGAATAGTTCACCCAAAAATAAGAATTTGCTGAAAGTTTACTCGCCCTTAGGTCACCCAAGATGTAGATGAGTTTGTTTCTTCATCGGAACAGATTTGGAGAAATTTTGCATCGCTTGCCCTTGACTCTAGGGGTCTAACAACTAAAAATCAAGTCAGGAATCTTGGTGTGATTCTGGAGACAGACCTTAGTTTCAGTAGTCATGTCAAAGCTGTAACTAAATCAGCATACTATCATCTCAAAAACATTGCAAGAATTAGAGGTTTTGTTTCCAGTCAAGACTTGGAGAAACTTGTTCATGCCTTTATCACCAGCAGGGTGGACTATTGTAATGGTCTCCTCACCGGCCTTCCCAAGAAGACCATTAGACAGCTGCAGCTCAGCCAGAACGCTGCTGCCAGAATTCTGACTAGAACCAGAAAATCTGAGCATATCACACACCAAAGAATCCTCTGCAGTGAATCGGTGTTGTCAGAATGAGAGTTCAAACAGCTGATAAAAACATCATTAATCCAGTTAATCATTTAACATCTTGTGAAGTGGAAAAAACTGCATGTTTGTAAGGGGGGAAAAGTGAGTACATTTTCAGAAAATCTTTGGGTGACCTATTCCTTTTTTTTAAATTAGACTTTAGTTTTAAACATTCAATCATCATGTTTACTTCTTTTTCCACAGCTGTTGAAAGTGGAAATGTTGCAATGACCATGACACAAGCCTGAAGTGAATGCACCTGAGACACTGAAAACGAGTGAAACTAAATAATCTGATGTAATACATACTGAAGTTAACATATAATGATGCTGTTACAGCCATAAAAAAGACCTCTAAATGACTTTTTGTTTCCAACTGAATCGCAAATTTGGTGAATGACTATGGTCTCCTTAATTTTGTTATTTCATCTGAAAATGAGTCCGTTGAAACTGTTTTGAGTTTAATTTATCTAATTTTGTGTCTCTGGAAAATAGTGGTCTGTGACACTGTATTATGCTGAATATCAAAGGTTTTGTGGTCACATTCATGTTGTTAGATTGCTTTTTATTTTAAAGTGAAAAGATAAAATTAGAATTAGGGCAGAAGGTCCCAACTGGCATGTTGTTGATAGTGCTTATTGTAATTCATTAGGTTATTATTCAGTTATTCCGTTATACACAAAATATTGTAAACATGCATTGCATTAAGTAATTAAAAAAAAAAATGTGTAATCAAAATGGAAGGAAATTTTATATGAAATTTAAATTAATCACATCAATCTTAAATTTATTTATTTATTTGTATTTATTTTTAATGTATAGGTGTACATTTTAGACATCTTCAATATATATATATATAGGCTAATTAAGTGAACTGATCTGAATTTAATTTGGATTAAATTTAAATTCATAGTGTTGCTATTATGATGTATCTTAAATTAATACATGGTCAATTAGATATGTAAGTTGTAGCATAAATTTACCTTTCATAACCTTTCATAATTATCTGGGATTCTACTTTATCTGTAATTGATTAATTATTTAGCTAAACTGTCAAAGCACAATTTTAAATAGTATTTTAATGACACACACACACACACACACACAGATTGTTATGCTTGAGTTAATGTATTATGTGATTGTGTGTTCTGAATTAGATCATGATTAAACTATTGAGTATTGCAGAGAACATGGAACAAAACTGAAATATGTGTGTAAAAAAAGTAAATTATTTTAAATGCATCTTTGTTTCAAGAATTGCATGAACTGTTTTGGAAATTAGGCCAACTGAATTAGTGTGTTAGTTTTTTATAGTGTTAGCAGCACTTGACTGAAATGAATCTCTACTATGTGCTCTCACCAGTTCTTGGCAAGGCGTAATACATGTGAAGTCATTATTAACAGAAAGAGTGTATTTACATTAAACTCATTCAATATCTGATTTTCAAAATTGTCTCTGTTACTAATTCACAAGCAGTCCGGACACAACAAATATACGAAAATAACGGCAGAACATTCATTCTAGACAAAGAATTTTAGTATTACTTGCTGTGTGCTTCTCTGATCTCCTATGCATGGTGTATTACCTGATTCGGTCATCTTTTATTTTTCTGTTATTTTATTAAAGATGAGACTGGTAAAATAGCTAATATGGAAAATAACAGGCCACTTGCCTTGGCAAGTATACTTTCAATTGTATTAAAACAAATCCTTTTGGATAGGCCCTGCCTCCCTGTGAAAATCACTATGAAACCAATCAACACCAACAATATTTTTTGTTTTTTTGTTGTTTTGTTTTTGTTTGTTTGTTTTGGATTATTGATGGTATTATTTGTTATTTGTGCTTCCTTTTGTAAATCACTCTGAAAAATGTGATGGCCCAGTTAGTAGTTCACAAAAAACTAGACCACCACCAACCCCTGTCCCATCCTTTATCCCCTGGGGCAGGCACACAGTTTTTTATTTGATCAGTGTGCCACACCTCCTCCCTGGTCTCCCAAACTCAAAGTTTTTATTTATCCATCCACTCTTGAGTCCTGGTCAGCCAGATCCAACACACCACAGCCAGGGAGGGGACTTGGCATCCCTCTGTGAGCGACCCGAGAGAAGCTGACCTGAACCCCATCCGACACCCATATAGCAAAGCCTTCACTGATCTTCACTGTGAGCGAGAGACATAAAGCAGCGTCTCGCTCTAGTAAAATGTCTTCACTTTTTACTTTTCAATTCAAGAGTAAATATCCATATAATTTAGTTCTATTATTTTAACATTAGTTAATGCATTAACAAAATAAGCTTAATGCAGCCTACATTATAGTTTAACTGACTAAAATCCACTGTAAAATAGTTTTCAGACCGCTTTTCATTTTATACATTTCATGTTAGAATCAGAATTCCATAATTTTTGAAACCTGTTACTAATAAAACTTTATTTTCTAAATAAAATAATTTGTGTTTGACATTGTTTTCATAGGAGTTACAGTATGTATCAAACAACGTATGTATTAAATGATGCCAGAAGTCAAACAGCAGAGGGCGCTATGTGTATGCCCCCCCCCCCCCCCCC